CGCTCCCTCTTCCCTCTCTCCTCTTCGCTCCTTCCACTCGCGCGGCTGAAGATACAGCGAGGAATAATGACAACAGCCTAAATTTAGCCGGCAGCCGCTCTGAAGCAGGGACCTCCTCCCCGAATGTCTGTAAAGCTTCACTTACCCAACATGACTGCTGCGGCGCTAGAAGAAGAGGACCCAGCTTATATCATCAGCTTCACGCCATCAATATTTGATGAGCGTTAGGACGCAAATAAACAGTGTCACGCCAAGAGGTGTAGCAGCAATATGACCACTTCCAAGAGGGGAGGGAAGGGCTCCACGTTGGGAACCCTCACATTTCCCTTCGCTTCCACAGCAAGCGCCTCCTTTGTGCAAGGCAGCTGGAAAATCCCCGTATTTATTTGCCTCTAACTTGTCTTTCCAAATCTGCCCTCCAACGAGAGGTGCTGACGGCGGTGGACTTGCAGCCGGGACGAGGCGCGAGGTCTGCTCGCGCGGCGGTGGGCAGCGCAGGGCTGCGTGCAGCCGCCCCGCAGCGCAGAAGCGTAACCCTGGGACATGCCCCAGCACTCCCGCTGCAGCCTGGGGCAGCGGCCTGTTTTGTGAAACCAAACTAGACGGCACCACTTTGTGATGTGACTTGAGTGAGAGAGCTACATTGGCTAAGGAGAAACCAAATTCCAACTTCTCCTATTTAAAAAATGACACAAACTCATTTTTCTAATTGACTACTTTGTGATTTGAGGCATAACATCTGAACGCTTGGTTACACGCTCTAAAGATTTTCCAAGTCCCTGTTCTGCCCCCCGGCCCAGAATTTCTGCCGGAGCAGCTGCCCGCCCTCGCTGCCGTCCTTGCAAGGAGCACATGTGCAGCGCTGCCTCTCAGTAAAGAAAGCAGCTTCAGCGGTCAGGAAATAATTGTTTGATCAACCACACAGAAAAGGAAATACCACAACAGCATCAGGCTGAATTGCCGGTGTAATGGTATACATTGATTCCTAAAGCAGCATTACAAAAGAAAAATTAGTTGGTGTTGCTGGGGGGATGTGTGTGGGGGGGAAATTACATAAATTCGGTCACAGACGGAATGAAAAAACTTGTAATCTACTCATGTTTCCTTCTGCCCCAAAGCTCCTTAGTGCCTGCGGCGGAGCTCGGTAATCCCGCTCAGTTCCTGCGGCCCCGCTGCAGGCTCCAGCTCTTCCGCAAGCGCTTTGCCCACTCCTGAAGGCAGCAAGGAAACCCAGCAGTGTGCTGTGGCCGCGGAGGGCCACGTTTCCAGGCTCGGCTCGGCTCGGGGTCCCCAGCTGAGGGCCAGCTCTTCTCATGGCACGGGACACAGCACATACTGGCGCTCTCAAAAGGCAGAATTTCTCCCTGAAAAGGTATTCCTGTTTGGCTCTTTCTCTCCCTCCTCGCCTCCAGCCCATCCATCCCCGGCAGCTCTTCAGGGAGCAGCACGACAGGGGCAGCCTGGCAGGGCACCCGAGGGCGAAAACGGGGTCAGGCATTTTTGCAGCCGCCGCTCCTGATGCACCCGCGCGCATTCAAGGAGCAGGAAAGATCCCCTGCCCCAGCCAGACGCCAGCAGCGAGCACTCATCTGCCTGCAACCTTTCCGTGTTTGCAGAGAAAAGCAGGGAAAACATCCCTGATCCCAGATTAAAGTTCCTTGCAGAAGGTTTCAGCTGAAGCCCCCAACCAAAAGAAAAGCCGCAATTTTGCAGTAATAGACTCAGCGGTCCAAATCCTTTTCTGGATTACAGCACTGCGAGCCCATAGCAACACGGCTCAAGGGAACAGCACGACAGCGCCGTAAATCCCCACGGGGGGATGTGGAGAGAGCGGCACGTTCAGCACTGAGCCCTTCACCCCCTTGGCACGAAACGCTCGCGGCA